AAAAAAAAGCAATCATTGATACTATAAATAATCTTCTTTCCTCTGCCTATTTTCCCTATTAAATACAAAAACAAACAAACAAATAAATAAATGAACAAAGCTGCCATTACTGATTCACCCTTCCTCTGTGAATCAAACAGGAGAAAAATAAATGGCCTGGAACTCACTCTCATCAGATAAAAGAAAAATTCAGCCTCCTGGTGCCCTGCAGGGAACACACCCTGGGGCTGAATTTACTAGTCACCCTGGATCCAGTTTCCCTGGCGGCTGAGGACTAATGGATGTGGTTGGCCGGCTTGCTGTCCTGGGCTCTGGGCTCCCAGCTCAGAGCATGTGTTTTGAACATTAGTGGACTCTGTTAGCTGCTTCCGGTTCACACTAGCTTTCTCAGGAGGGCACTAGCCAGATGGACATAGAAGAGGGCTTCCTGGTCTCCCTGACCCCACCCTGTATCAAGGAGTGACTTTATTGCAGATAAAGTCATCTTCTAGCATAACCTTAGCACGGTGTCGCTCTTTGTGTCAGCTACAGACCCCTGGGTGTGGAAGAAAACATTTTGGGCAGGAAAGATCCAAAGCCAAAAGGAAAGCTACTCCTGGCTTGGATGCGAAGGGTAATGGCCTGGAGCCTCTGCTTCTTCCCCGCCCCCACCCCAGGGAGTGGTGCAGATCACGGCTGAGCTGAGCCGCTGGTGCCACTGGTGATTTATGACCGAGCTCTTGGCCTTGGGTCATAGCTTCTCAAGGTTCTGCAGGTCCTCTGTAGGGGACTTGACAAGGAACGGCTCCTGTGCAGTTGTTTCCGCTCAGGGTGACAGGGGCAATCACGCTGTCACCCCCATACCCCCACCCTCACCCTGTCACCCCAGAAGGTTTCTCTGTGTAGCCCTGGCAGTCCCGGAAGGAACTCAGTTTGTACACCAGACACCAGACTGGCCCTGAACTCACGTAAATCTGCCTTCCTCTGCCTCCTGAGTGCTGGGACTAAAGGTGTGTACCAGGACACCCGACCAGCCGGTGCCATCTTAAGAAGAAATTTAGTGAACTCCCCCTGTTCCTAGCGTGCCTCTCCCCCACGTGAAGACCTAAAGCTCTGCTCTGAATTCCCTGTCCGTTCCCACTCCAGTGTCGCCAGGCTATAATTGCCTGAGGAGTTGTCCAGAAGATGTGGTCCGAACTGGCTCAAATATGAGGTTTGTAAAGTTGTTCCCCAAACGGAGTGTGATGGTGGTACATGGCCTGAAATCCCAGCCCTGGGAAGGCAGAGGCAGGAAAATCAGGAGTTCAAGGCCATCCTCAACTACCTAAAGACTTGGATTTGAGAAAATTAAAATAACAAACAAACAAACAAACCAAAGAGAGTATGTTGGAGGCCAATATACTAAGTTGGAGGCCAGCCTAGGAGACCCTGTCTCCAAACAAGAAAGCCCTGCTCCCTCCCTCCTTCCCCTGTGGCTTTACCTATTTGTTATTTAAGAAGAGACAAGCAGACGTGCATCTGAATAAGAGCTGAGACAGACAGGAACGGACCATCCAACTCTTTTTTTTTTTTTTTTTTTTTCTTCAAACTGGTCTCAGATGGTGCAGGCTAGCCTCAAATTCAACTATATAAATGATGACCTTGGTCCTCTGGTCCTCTTATCCCTACTCCCCAAGTGCTAGGATTGCAGACATGTGTTACACACTCAGTTGTTATGGGGTACTGAGGATCGAACCTGGGGCTTTGTGTACGCTGGGCAAGCACTCTGCCAACTGAGGTACATTTCCTAACCGAGGAACATCTAACTGTGGGAGCTTCTGTGCTCCAGACCCTACCTAAATGGCTTACTGGCAGCTTTGCTCATAAGCCTGTGGGAGAGTTTGGACTAGCCTGTACTGACATTCCTTTAAATGGAAGTGCAGAGAAGTTTTACAAAATGACCAAGTAACGCAGCTAGTTATCTGTCTAAGGAACCAGAGCCTTTTAAACAATGCTTTTTGCCTGCTCTAGGCAGCTTGCATGTACTACAAGACTGCTCTCCCCTTAAAGCTTACAGGGCCATCAAGACCCGTCCTGTTGAGGAGCTGATGAGTCAGCGAAGGGCCATCCTAAAGTCACTGAGGCCAGCAGCAGCAGAGCTGAGAATGTCCCTGGAGTAGATGACACCAGAAAATTTTCTTTTTCTGTGTCCTTTAACTTAACCTATTCTCTCTCTTTTTTGTTTAAAGATTTATTATTTATGTAGTGTTCTGCCTGCATGTGTGCCTGCATGCCAGAAGGGGCACCAGATCTCATTATAGATGGTTGTGAGCCACCGTGTGGTTGCTGGAAATTGAACTCAGGACCTTTGGAAGAACAGGCAGTGCAACCTCTGAGCCATCTCTGCAGCCCCCAGCCTCTGTCATGGGGGAGATTTCAGCTGGGCTCACTGTTCTTTGTTTGTTTGTTTGTTAAAGATGCTGGCCAGCCTGAGATAGACCCTGTGTCATCCTGCTAGCCTCAGCTCACTCAGTTCCCTTGGCGCCTGTTCTTCCCCGTCCTTTGGTTCCGGCTTGTGTGCCTTAAAAGCATGTATGTAATTTGCAGAGTCGAGGGCAAACACGCGCTGTGCTGCGTGTGTTGTTGTGCATGCGTGAATGTCAGAGAAAGTCGCTGAAGTCACCTGATGGGGCCTGGGGTCTGAACTGAGGTTGTCGGGTTCGGTGGCAAGCTTCTTCACCCACCGGACCTTTGCCAGCCCCTTGTCCACAGTGTCTAGGATTGTCCACTGACCCTGCTGGGCTTCTTCCCGGAAGCCCTCCCTGTGTTCCTCTCCAGCGTGGAAGAGCCCCAGGGCTCCATGCTGAACTTGTGTAGCTGCCGATGTGATGTCCTTGCAGTGCTCACTGCTGTCCGTGGCCCAATAGCTCCCAACCTGTTTCTCCTGTGGCAGTCTGTTCTCCAAGGGAGGCGTCAACCATCCCTTCCACCTTTGGAGGCGCTTCCCACCGTGGAATCCACCCAGTCAATATGCGGTTTTCAGCAGGGCCGCGGACTTTTGTGAACTTCACCACCACCATGCAGGGTCTCACACCTGCAGTCCAGGTTGGCCTGGAACTCACCATGTAGCACCTAGGCTGACTCCCTTTGTGGACCAGTCTGGCCTCAGACTCATAGAGATCTACCTGCCTCTGCCTCCCCAGTGCTGGGATTAAAGGCCTGCACCACCGCCTGGCCTGACCAAGGTCAATTTAAAAACATTCTTTTCTACCTGGGCAGTGGTGGCATACGAGGCAGGTGGATCTCTGTGAACTTGAGGCCAGCCTGGTCTACAGAGTGAGTCCAGGGCAGCCAGGGCTACACAGAGAAACCCTGTTTGGAGTGGGGGTGGGGGGAAAACCACAAAAGGGGAAAATATAAACATTTTCTTCACTCACTCCCTGTGACAGCCCAATTTCTACATACCCTTACAATCATTAATCTGCCTTCTGCCTATATTCCTTAGTCTATTCTGGACATTCTACAGGAGTAAGATTATCTAACACGTGTTCTTTAGGAATGCCCTCTTCTCTCACCTCATTTTTTTTGGGACAGGATTTTGTATAATCAAGGCAGGCACGAAAATCAGTATATAAACCAGGGTGACCCTTAACTTTTCCTGCCCCTGCCTTTACCCACCCCCCCTGCCAAGCGCCCAGATAATAGGCGTGTACCAGATAATAGGCGTGTACCACCACTCCCACTTGAACTCAGCGACAGCCATCTGTAGCCTGGAAAGGGCTCATCATCCCCTTGCCTCAGCATGTCCAGCAGCTTGATTATAAACCTGTACAACCAGGCTCAGCTTTGGTTTTGTCCTGCTTCAGCTTTCCTTTTTTTAAAAAAATATATTTATTTGCATAACCATCATAATTTTTTGGGTAGAACTGCTAAACTCTTTTCCATAGAAATATACCATAAAATATATAGACATTTTCTATTTCTACCATTCACTCTAGGGAAACCCGTCTTCCCCATATCTCTAACACTTATTATTATCTGTTTTTTGTTTGTTTTTTTTTTTTTAAGATTTATTTCATTATTTGGGTGGTGGGTTGGTGTGGGTGCCTGTGGAAATCTACAGAATTCCACCATGTCACTTGGAGCTGGAGTTACAGGCAGTTGTGAGCTAACTGGTGAGGGTGCTGGAAGCCAAACGTGGCCATGCTGCAAAAGGAGCAAATGCTCTTAACCAATTAGCCTTCCTTCTAGTTCCTGCTCGGTTTTGGTTGTTGGTTGGTTGATTTTTTTCCTCAAGGCAGGGTTTCTCTGTGTAGCCCGGCTGTCCAGGAACTCACTCTGTACACCAGGCTGCCCTGGAACTCAGAGAACACCCGCCTCTGCCTCCCAAGTGCTGGGACTGAAGGTGTGAGCCACTGCTACCCGGCTTGTCTGCTTTTTGAAGCAGGGATCTCCTCACTTGCCTGGAACTCTCTATGTAAACCAGGCTGGCTTTGAATTCACAGCTTGCCTCTGCCTCTCAGGCGCTGAAATCAAAGGTGTATGCTCCTGTGCTGGCCCTGTTTAGATTTTATTTTCATGTATATAAGCATTTGCCTGCACGGATGGCCATGCACCATTTACATGCCTGTTGTTTTTGCACACCAGAAGAAGGCGCCCAATCCTGTGGAAGTAGAGTTACAGATGGTTGTCCCTTGCCGGGTGGGTGCTAAAAAAAAAAAAAAAAAAAAAAAAAAAATCAAACCTGGGTCTTCTGGAAGAACAGCCAGGGCTCTTGACTGCTAGCCTCCATATTTAGACTTTTGATGCAGTCTAACTATGTAGTTCTTCTCTGACCTGAAATTCAGTGCTAGGAATTCAGGTATGAGCCTCCATCACTAGTTTTTATTGGTTGGTTTTGAGACAGGGCTTTATGCAGCCCAACACAGCCTCCAAGCCATTCTCTAACCAAAGATGACCATAAACTCCTGATCCTCAGTCTTCTGCCTCGATTATGGGTGTGTGCCTTCATGCCCAGCTCTTATTTATTTTTTACGTGTGTGTGTGTGTGTGTGTTTGTGTGTAGAAGGTATTGCTTACCTGTGCATGCTCATGTATGGAGGTCAGAGGTGGACTTCAGGTTTCTTGGGTTGCTCTCTGTTTGCTGAGAGAGCATCTTTCACTGAATCAGGAGCCATGGTTCTCAAACTGTGGGTCATAACCCCCGTAGGGTTCGAGTGACCTTTTCACAGGGGTTGCCTGAGAACACCCAAAACATGTATGCTTACATTACAATTCATAACATTATCAAAATCACCGTTATGAAGTAGCAATGAAAATAATTTTCTGGTTGGGGTCACCACAGCATTCAATACTGTACTGAAGGGTCTTAGTATCAGTAAGGTTAAGAACTATGGATCTAGGGCTGGAGAGATGGCTCAGAGGATAAGAGCACTGATTGCTCTTCCCAAAGGTCCTGAGTTCAATTCCTAGCAATCACATGGTGGCTCACAACCATCTAAACATGAAATCTGGTTTCCTCTTCTGGCGTGCAGGTGTACATGCTAACACACATTGCATAAGTAATAAATAAATAAATATTAAAAAAAAAGAACTATGGATCTAGACCTTTCAGTTTCAGCTACGCTGACTGCCCAGTGAGCCCCAGAATCTGCCTTTGTACCCCCAGTGTTGGGATAACAGGTACATGCTGCCTCACCTGGCTTTTATGTGGGTGCTGGAGAGCTGAGCTGAGGTCCTTATGTTTACATAGCAAGCATGTTCCAGTAGGCTATCTGATAACATAACGTTTATTCTTCTGAGGTAACTGTCCTCTTGGAGGCTTGGGGACTCTGTCTGCTAACCTAGGCCTAGTCCTGGAAGCTTCTAGCCTCATACAATCTAATCTAAGCCTAGAATGCTTTCAGCCTCTGAGATTTACTGCTGAATAAACTCACCCATTCTAGTTCATTCTGAACTCTGGCTGACTGGTTCAACTCAGCTGTTCTGGCTCAAACTCTTCTCCTAGATGACGGATTCAAACTGGCTTCTCCCAGCTTCTAAACTGCTCATCTTGGCCTCATACTGACTTTGTCAATATGTTCTAATCTTCTGGCTCCTTCTTGTTCTCTGCCTTGTTCTGTCTTTACCCATGTCTTCAGCCTGTCTCTGTAAAACTCTATTGGTAAAAACTGCCTCTGAATTACACAAACTGAACTGCTAAAAACTCCACTTCACTGCCTCTCAAATTTAGAACTCAAGAGATCGGCATGGCTCTGTCTCCTGAGTACTAGGATTAAAGGCATGTACCACCATGCCTGGACCTAAGCTTTTCTTTCCCTGAAACTTGCTCTATACCAGGCTGGCCTTGAACTCAGAGATTTGCTTGCCTCTGTCTTCTGGATTAAAGGTGTGTGTATTTCAGCCAGATTACACAGACCTAGAAGGTCTTTAGATGTGACCTCTTGTCAGAGCAGCCATGTTCTGAATTAAAATTCCTCTACAGATATCTCCCAATTCTATTAGGATTATTTTTTCTTTGAGACAATTTAATTGCAGACCTGAGACTGATCTAGAACACACTGAAGTAGCTTACCCTGGCCTTAAACTTGGGCTGGGTTTTCCTTAGCTTCCCAAAGGAATGACACATGCCTTTAATACCAGGACTCGGGAGGCAGAGGCAGGCAGATTTCTGTGAATTCGGGGCTAGCCTCCTCTACAAAAGCAAGTCCAGGACAGCCACGGCTACACAGAGAAGCCCTGTCTTGGGGGGAAATAAAAGAATGACAGGAGTGTGTCATGATGCCTGGCTTCAAACTGCTGTCTTCTTTTCCTCTTGTAGACCTTGTCGTTATATCAGGATAATCTCACTGTGACACCCTTAATTACATTTAAAAAATCATATATATATATATATATATATATGTTTATATATATTAATACAGTTATTTCATATATATAGTTATATAGTATATATGTGAATACTATATATATTTATATGTCAATATATAGTCCATGTCAACATATATTATCTAACTTTATTTATACATAACTATATTAATATGTAACATACAGCCATAAGTAACTGTATCAATATATAATATATCAAGCATTAATATATTGATTATATAAATAATATATTAGTGCATTAATATATTAATATATTAATAATATATTAAAATAATTATATAAATATATTTATTTAAATAAATATATAAAATATAAACATTTCTATTTATATTATATAAATATATTTATATAAATATATTTATATAAATATATTTATATATAATTAATATATTAATATATTAATGTAGTTGCTATATTATGTGTTAATACAGTTTTAATGGCTGTATATTAATATATACTATAGAGATACATTAATATACTATATTAATTATTAACGCAGTTATGTATGACATATTAACACAATTACATATGTTATATAGTAATATAGTTGTGAAGTGGAAGTTGTTGGTTTCCTTGAAGACTCAGTTTTGTCATGTGATGTTTTGCTGAAAGCTGTTTTGCTAGAGACCGGCACGTTGTTTTGCTGTGAACTCTCACGTGTAAGGGGTGCGGTTTGGCCAGCTGAGAGCATCCATGGGCGGACTCCGAGGAGAGGAGATATAGAGAGGCCTGCACACAGCGAGGCATTGCTTTTTGATGGACATCACTGCACTGATCTTCATGCTTCAACACTTGACTTCACAGAAAAAGACATTCCAGAGGACTTCTCAGGGCAATCCACTGAGTCTTGTGGCTTTTGCTGACTTGTCCTGATCTTCTGAATCCTGTTGGTGCTTAGTGTGGGCCTTTGGACTGGACTGCTAGTATCCTGAAAAGTGAGTTTGGAAAGATCCATTGACCCTAAGCAGCAGGAAGTAGATATCGAGGTCTAGAGCCCTTTTCCCTACTAATCTCCTATCTAAGGCCGAGGTGTTAGAAGGGAGGGAAGAGTGTTTAAGAACACTAAATAAAGTAGGTTTGATGAAAAATCTAAGTCTACACAATTGTATATATGTTAATATATATGTTAGTATAATATATTAATATAGTTTATGGATTAGGGCATTGATTTTTTTTTTTTTTTTTTGAGGGTTTGAGCTGGTGATGTAATCTAGGCTGGTTTGAACTAACACTGCTTCTGCATGGCATCCCAAGGGATAGGATTACAGATACGTACCCTCAGGACATAGTAATCTTTTGGGAGCCATTATTCCAACATATGTCAGAAATAAATTGATACTGATCACCTGAATCCTGAATAAACTTTTCTATGTTAATGTATCAGTGAATACGAAGGCAAAGATATTGAAGGTATCTCCTCAGGCCTGGACGTTGTGGAAAATAATTTTGTTTTTATTCTTGTTTGTTTGTTTGTTTTGAGACAGGGTCTCTTACTATAGCCCTTACTGTCCAGCATAGTGGTGTGAGCCTGGCCACGGTGGTACACACGCCTTTATTCTGGTACCGAGGAAACAGAGATGAACAGGATCTCTGTGAATTCAAAGCCACTGTCTACTTGACTACATAGGGCCTTCCAGGACAGCAGGGCTACACAGAGACACTCTGTCTCAAATATACATACATATATATACATATATATGTGCAAACATACACACACACACACACATATATGTATATGTAGTGTGTGTGTATGGTGAAAAGTTTCTTTCGTATGAAAGGTAGCTAGCCTGCCAATAACCAATATTCTATAAACCTCTCCTATCTTTCACGGTGCCTCTTTGCCTAACACATCAACTATCACGATCCTCCCCTTCACATTGATTAGCTATTTGGGGAAGAAAGATTGTGAGATCAAGCTCCTACCAATGGATAGGATACAGTTTCTAAATGAAGCCAGCCAGTGGTGGCCAACACCTTTAGTCCCAGCGCTCAGGAAGGCAGAGGCAGGGGGATCTCTGTGAATTCAAGACCAGCCCAGTCCACTGAGAGAGTTTTCTAGGACAGCCAGGGCCACACAGAGACACCATGTCTCAAAACAACAACAACAACAAAAACCTAAATGAAACTGCTACCCAGTGTGCTTGACCGCTGGGAATGGCTTTTCATGCCTCCCCCCCCCTTTTTTTTTTTTAATAAGAAATTGCCTTGCCAGGTTACCTTCATTTCCTGTTGCAACATGGAGAACCTTCTTTCCATCAGTGGCAAAACCCATATAGTCTAAGTTCTTGAGAGGCTGAGAAATGAGGATCATGAGTTGAAAGGGCAAGCAGGCTACATAAAGACGTCCTTTTAAAAAACAATAAACCCAGGCACGGAGTGCACAGCCTCTGCGTCCCCAGGAGCTGGAATTCCCGGAATTCCTGGCTAGTGTCAGGTAGCCCAGGTCTTCACAATGTCTGTTTCCTGGAACTGCTTCCACATATGCAGGAATCAAAGGTTAGCTGATGTTACTGAGAATGGGTTTCACTTTTCCTTTCCCAGGTCTCTGTTTACTTTCTCTGACTCCGTTCCTAGATCCTTACACTGTTATTTCTCCCTGGAGACAGCAATTTAAGGACCTGAAATAGAAATGTACCTGCTCTAGGTGGCCAGATTCACGCCATGAGCTCTACCTTGCCTAACTGTCTAAGAGCACAGGTGGTATGGGTGTGGTGGCACAGGCCTATTCCTGACCCTCGGAATCAGGAGTTTGAAATCTAGGTGTGGTGCTCAGGTCTATAACTTCGGCAACTGGGAAGCTGAGGCAGGATCCACATGCTTTGCAGGCTCTCTTGAAATGTTTTGTTTTTGTTCTTACAGGTGGGGTTTCTCTGTATAGCCCTCACTGTCCTGGAACTCACTCTGTAGACCAGGCTGGCCTCAGATTCACAGAGATCCACCTGCCTCTGCCTCCCAAGTGCTGGAATTAAAGGCGCACGTCACACCTCCCAGCTCTCCTGGGTTACCTATTGAGACCCTGTCTCAAAACTACAAAAGGGAAGAAGCTGGAGAGAAAGTTCAATGGTTGAAGTATTTGCTCTGCCAGCTTGAGGACTGGCAGCTGGGCTCCCCAGAACCCAGAAATGCCCTAAATGCTGGGTATGTTTAACTGTAACTTTTTAATTTTTTTTTTTTAAGACAGGGTCTCACCAAGTAGCCTAGGCTAGCCTCACGGACACAAAGATCTGCCCTTCTTCTGTCTTGCAAGCCCTGGGGTTAAGCCTGTGTTATCAGGTCCGGCTCTATTTTCTTCCTCCACACGAGTACCCACGGCCTCCTACCGAACTCTTATAATTCCTAAGCTTATCATTTCCACATTTCCCCGTGCTGCCCCTCTGCCTCCAATGCTCTGTCAATGTTCTCTGGCACTAATTGTCCCTCCGTTAAGGGAACTATCCCTGCTAGTTCCTTAGACCCCTCCCAATGCCCTGCTTCCCAAGTACCCTGTACCCAACCTACCTTCTTTTCTGTTTCGTTGTTATCATGTATGTAGGCCGTGGAGGGGTGGCATCTATACCATGACGTATGTGTGGAGAGCAGGGAGCAACTCTGTATCACTTCTCCCCTTTCTTTTTTTAGACAGGGTTTCTCTGTGTAGCCTTGGCTGTCCTGGGCCTGCTTTGTAGACCCAGGTTGGTCTTGAACTCACAGAGATCCTCTTTCCTCTGCTAGTATCACAGGTGTGCCCCACCACGCCCAACTCAGTTCTGTCCTTTTACCTTGAAGTCATTTCCGGGGATTGAACTCAGAGTTTCCGGCTTGCATGGGATCTTAGTTAGGAAAAGACCATGGCCGAGAACACTCTGGGGAGGAAAGAGTTTACTTCACCTTGTAGCTCACAGTTCTTCATGAAGGGAAGTCAGGGCAGAAACTCAGAGCAGGACCTGGAGGCCGGGACTGAAACAGAGAGCATGGAGGTCTGCTTAATGGCTTGATCCTCCTGGTTTGCTCTTTCTTTCTTTTTTCTTTTCTTTTCTTCCTTAGGTTTTTCTGAGATGAGACAGGTTTTCTCTGGACAGCTTTGGCTGTCTGGTAAGTCTCTATGTCGACCAGGCTGGCCTTGAACTCACAGAGATCCACCTGCCTTTGCCTCTGGAGTGCTGGGATTAAAAACGTAAGCCTACCACACCAGGCTGGTTTGTTTTCTTATACAACCCAGGCTCCCCGAACAGTGGGCTGGATCACATCAATAATTAATCAAAATGCTCCACGGGCTTGCCTGGGGAGGCATTTTCTCAGCTGACATTCCCTCTCCCAGATTGCTCTAGCTGGGGTCCAGTTAACAAAAAAAAAAGTCTAGTTCTTTACCCACTGAGAAATCCTGCCAGGCCCCATGCTACAGTACTGGCTCACTTACTAGGTGCTCTCTAACCCTGGCTCCTGAATCCCATGAGAGCAAGGATAGGATCTGGTTGATCTGGTTTGTCTCCGTGCTCCCTGGGTTTTGCTTGTGTCATTTCAGAGCTGTGGTGAGCTGCCTGGAAGTCAAGGGACTCCAAGAAACAAAGACTGACTTTGCCTCCTGGTTTCAATCATTGTTTTGGGGAGGGTGTTGTAAAGCTGAGCAGGCCACATAATCTCCGTCCTGGGAGGTGGGGAGGAGGGGGGAGCAGAGGAGAAAAGAATATGAGGGGAAAGGAGGGGAGGGAGAAGGAGGGAGAGGTGGAGGCCAAGGAAGAGCGGAGAGAGGAAAGGGAGGCGGGAAGGACTATGATTGCTCCATCTGCACCACCAGGGTGTGGTGCTGCTCTCCTTCCGGGTGAGTCCTCCCCTTCTTAGGTTGTCCTCTCTGGACCTTACGTCACAGACACATCCAAAGGTGTGTGAATCATGAATCATTCCACTCACGCTGAGGATGAAGGTTAGTTAGCAAGGCAGACCCTGGCACATAATGTTTGGTGATACCTGGCAGACCAGAAAGCAAGCATTGGTGCCCTTTCCTTTCTCCTTCCTCCTCCTCACCTCCCTAAGTTCTCCCTTCCTTCCTTTTTAATGACTAGGTCTCACTATGTGGTCCTGGCCGACTTGGAACACACCCCCTCCCAACACAGAGACCAGATTGGCCTCCAATTTTATAGAGATCCAGAGATCCACCTGTCCTCTGCCACCTGCCCTCGGCCTCTGGAGGGCTGGGGTTAAAGAAATTCAAAGCCGTACTCAACAGCTGGGGTTTCTCCTCATCTGGTTTTCCAACCCAACTTGCAGGTTGCTGCTAGAGTCATATCTCCTAGGAGCACTAGTTTATATTCTAAAAGCCATTTGCTTAAAAAAACTATCCCAAGGCCAGGTCATGGTGGCACACACCGTTATTCCTGGCGCTCAGGAGGCAGAGGCAGGTAGGTTTCTGTGAGTTCCAGGTGAGCCTGGTCTACAGAGTGAGTTCCAGGATAGCCAAGGCTACACAGAGAAACCCTGTCCCCAAACAAAACAAAAGGAAACCCTGTCTCGAAAAGAAACAAAATAAACAAACCCAAAACTCTCTTGGCTCCACTTTCCTCTGAGTTTGGTTTCTTTCTTTGGCTTCAGGCCCAGTTGATATGCTAATGCTGTTTAAGTCACAGTTTTCAACTCAGAACACTCCTCTTCTCTCCTCCTACCTTGCACCCAGTTTTGGTTTACGGTACTTAATCACTTGGACATCTGGCAAGAACTTTACATATTCAAATGTTCATTTCCCTTTTGAGACATTTTTCCTTTCTTGAATTTTCTCTCTTTCTCCCCCCCCCCCCCCACTCCAGGGTATCTCTGTGTAACCCTGGCTGTCCTGGACTCAGGAGACCAGGCTGTAGACCAGGCTGGCCTCAAACTCACAGAAATCCACCTGCCTCTGCCTGCCCGAGTGCTGGGATTACAGGTGTGTGCCACTATACTGCCTGGCTGGATTTTCTCTTAATAAATCACATCTAGATGGCAGGATGGCTCAGCAGGAACAGCACTTGCCCTGAAATGGTGAGAACCAGAGTTTGGATCCCCAGAACCGATGAAAATGCCAAGGCAAGGCTGTTTGTAGTCCTAGTACTCCAGAGGTGGAGATGGGATCCCCAGAGTGCGCTGCCTAGGCCGGGTAGCTGCCTCCTCACGCTCTGGACTCAGTGCAAAGACTTCAGTGGATAAGGTGGAGGATATTCAAAGAAGACACCTGATGTCAGTTTCGGGCCACTACATGATCCAGAACACGTTTGCCCACGCTTATGAGCCTGCATACGACACTATGACACACATATCATACATATAAATACAAGAAAACTACATAAGATCATCAACTCCTGTGCTACTCAGATTTGACTTCTGGACGTCCCCAGGACACGTTAGGCAATGGATTAGGAGACCAAACTTGGTAGACAAATGGCTTTAAATAAGGTTTTCTTCCTTCCTTCCTTCCTTCCTTCCTTCCTTCCTTCCTTCCTTCCTTTCTCTCATGCTCTCTCTCTCTCTCTCTTTCTTTCTGTTATTTTGTTTTGTTTTTCTGAGACAGGGTAAATAAATAAATACTCTCTGCTACACACCTTTAATCCCAGCACTTGGAAGGCACAGATGGAAGGATTCCCCTGAGTTTGAGGCCAGCCTGTCTACACAGCCAGGTTCAGGACAGCCAGGATTCCATAGAGAAACCCTATCAAAAAGCAACAGGCAAGCAAGCAAGCCAGGCTTGGTGGCACACACCTTTAATCCCAGCAGTGGGAAGATAGAGGCAGGTAGATCTCTGAGTGAGACCCTGCCTGAATTAATCAAATGTGTTATAAAACATAACAAAGGAGGGTAAGAAATTTCCTTCTGTGTGTATGTGTTTTGTTTTTATGTTTACTTTTTTTTCTCGGCTGTAATGTTTATTGTGCAGTGGTTGGTGAGGTGGCCAAAATCTCTTGTAATGCTGGGCGTGGTGGTACACACCTTTAATCCCAGTGGTCAGGTAGGCAGAGGCAGGCTGTGAGTTTGAGGCCAGCCTGGTCTAAAAAGTGAGTCCAGGACAACCAGCCAAGGCTACACAGAGAAACCCTGTCTTGAAAAAAAAAAAAAAAAAAAAAACCAAAACAACAGAAAAAGCTTTTGTTACTACAGAGTCATTTCAGGTACAAATATGTGGCTGCGGGCCTGGACAGAGCTGAAGTCTCCCACACCTGTACCCCAGTTCCTGAGCAGAATAGAAAGCTGTACCGTGATGCCCTGAGCAGGCAGCAGCCCAAGTGATGCTCCTTCTGGTGGCCTCACTGTCTACTGTCTGATCCCCTGGCATCCACAAACATCTGAGAGACCCTTACAAGCTCCTGGGTGACGCTCGCAGTGAGTCCGTCGATCACATGAAAGCACCATCACTCCTACTTGGGAGCACCAAGTTCCAGTCTCTTCTTGAAGCTGGAGGGGCTGTCTAGCACACATGGCAGAGCTCAGCTGGTTGACAGTGTAGCCGAGGTTCCTGGATTTTGCGCAG